TATTCTTTTGACAATTTATATGCTAGTTAGGATATATGCTTTGGAAATTTGAAAATATGCATGTATAATTAGAGAAAACTTAGATCCAAAGCATTTAGGGTTGCATGTGCACCATAAGAGTGTTATAGTGCTCAAAACCCAATGGTGGTATCAGAGACTAGGGTTGTTTTTTGTTATACTTAATGCTTATTAATTTTCAAAGTTGAAAAAACCAATTTTCTGGTCTGACTGGAGAACTCGTTGAGTCCACTGGTTGACTCGATGAGTCCACTCAGTAACGGAGCAACTCGACGAGTCAGTTCATGCACTCGAAGAGTTGCAGGCTCTGGTTGCAGAAATTCAAAGTTTTTTTTTTGCCAGAATTGGATTAGGATCATTACCGCCATCTCTCCTCTCTTATCCCCTCTCATCGGCCGAACCATTGCCACCTCTTTCCATTTCTCACATTCAAAGCTACTTTCTTATCTCATTTTCTCTCAAACTCAAGAAACTCTCCCACTTTTCTTCATAAAAAATTGTGGGTTTTGTGTGGGTTTTCTCAAAGGTTCTCTTCAAGTAGTGCACACTTGGTAAGTTTATATCATCATTCAAGTTGTTCACTTTCTTCTTATACTAATATTATTCCTCATAACCACCTTATTTTCGTGTTTATGCTCCTCGAACCATCTGGGTTTCGAAAATCTTCCCAAAGGAGCACTCTAGGTTGAAAACCTCCTTCATTTTTCCTCTTTAAAACCAATCAAGCCCAAGGTGAGCTTCATACCCCTTGTTTTCAATTTTTTCCTTGTTTTGGGGGAGGATACAAGTCAAAGTCTTGTGTAATCTTGTATATTTTGTTTGCATGTGTATGTTCTACATGTTTTGGTGTGTGAAATGTTGTGATATCTTGCTAAAATCCCACAAATTCAACATTTATCCAAGTCTTGAAGTTGTTGGGACAAGTTACCTTATGTAATTTCTTATGTTTGGTTGAATATTTTAAATATGTTAGAAATCCACTATGAAACTAAAGAAGAACTTAAAAAGGAACCATTTTTGAAAATAAAAATAAACTTGGGCCATTTTTACCATTTTAGTAAAATAGGCCGAAAATGGCCCTTTTTAGTAAATATGGATCATTTTTTAACATTTTGATAAACTTGGGCCTTTATTGAACATTTTAGTATAAATGGGCTAAAAATGGGCTTTTTAATAAACTTGGGCCATTTTTTAACATTTTAGTAAAAATGGGCCTTAAGTGAACATTTTAGTAAAAATGGGCCTTAAATGAACATTTTTGTAAAAAGGGCTATTTTGGACAACTCTAGTAAAATTGGGCCATATTCGACATTTTTAATAATAATGGACCATTATTGACAGTTTGGATAATATTGGGCCATTTGTGAATATTTTAATAGAATTGGGCCTCGTATAATAATTTGGGTAAAAATTGGGCCATAAGTAACAATGTGAATTTTTTTGACACCTTCGGTAAAAACGATTATCTTTTTTTTTATCACCTATGGTTGTAGTAAAAAAAATACACACTAGTAATATTATTTATTGTATTAAATAATGAAATTTAATTATTACGTAAATTTCGTTAAGGCTCTTGCGAGACACTCATTCGCTGGTACCCACTTAGGGTACACCGTAAGCCTTGTAGTTATAACCAGAGTCTCATGGAGGGAGAACGAGAGTTTGTGTATATATCTATATGGGGTTGATACCCCACATCTGAGCTGTTCGCTACAGCTAGACAGGCCAGTCTAGGGTGACAAATATCTTCTTAGAAACCGACGCCTGAAGAACATCAAGACATGCACTCTGTCATATTAGTATGGTTATAACGACTCACATAGAGAATAACAATACTATTATAAGATTTATGTTGAATATACATACCACTCATTTTTATGAAGTACAAACAGTGTGTCGGTTATTTTGTAATAACCATATCTTTCCGATCTTAGGGTTTAAGGCTACAACTTCTCATAACATAGAAAATACAGGATTTTCCGGGAATCACTCTCTATGAATTTTCAAACAAGTTAAATCAAGAATACACATGCAATTATACATGATTTGAAACAAGACTTACAAACTATTTTTCTTTACAATAAAATATTAGATTTTCTGGAGATTTACTAACTACTACAAGTTTTCATATAAACATGCTTCTGAACTCACCAACATTTTATATCTTGACGCTTTTCAAACGACTTGTATTCTCAGGAACATAGTGAGCATGTTCTTTACAGCTATGCACTTGAATGAATGTTGTATTTTGGTTTCATCATATATTTGTTATTTTGGGATGTAATTTTTTATGAACAAACACAATGTTGTAAACCATGTATGTTGTTATCTTGAATGTATGATGATGATGGTGTCTATGTTTCAATTATATACATTGTTATGATATTACAAGATGAAGTCATCCGCCCCCGAATGTTTTCGCCACCCCGATTCGAGGGTGTGACACAAACCACACATCCTTTGCATCACATATAGTCTAATATCATCTAGCATAGTAATAATTGGCTTCTTCATAGCATCCATGATAACATTGTTAAAGCTTTCAGACAACCTATTCTCAACAGCATCACGCCCCTTACTATTTGAAAAAAAGCTTTTGACCATGATTTTGGATTCCTTCCCATAAGATGCACATAAGTAGCAGTGCTAATCATTTGAATCTCTTTCGTTGCAGAATTGAAAAAAGGTTCATTTGATGCCTTACAAGCCTTCCAAAATAATTTCTCATAATGATCCCCAAGGAATTTCTTCTTAAAGTTGGACAGAACATGCTTGGCACATTGCCTATGTTCTATGTCTAGGAATAAATCCTTCACTGCTTCAATTATCCCTTGCATTTACATCATAAGAACATTTAGAACTAGATCACAATTGAAACACATAAAGCATGTGTTGATCTGACATCAATGTCTTACCATACCCATCTTCAAGATGCAGATCTTCTTGCAAGTTTTATAGGAACCATTTCCACTTGTCTTTATTTTTAACACAAACCACAACCCAAGCTATTGGTATATATGATTGTTTCCATCCCTACCAAGAACACATAATAACTTACCAGTACGCATTCATTTTAAAAAACACCCATCTAAGTTTATAATCCCTCTACGACCACTTCTCTAACCCTGCTTTAGTGCATGAACACACACACATACACACATACACACACACACACACACATATATATATATATATGCTAAATATTTTTTCCCATCTAGCATAGAGTTCATACAACTTGACTGTTGACCCTGGATTAGACCTTCTTATCTCCTCACCATAGGACCACAACTTTGCATAATTTTCCACTATGGTACCTTCAATAAGAGACAATACATGTTGCTTAGCTTTCCTACATTGTCCCATACTAATATCTATGCCAAATTTAGTCTTTACTTCCTCATTTAGCATCCTAACATTGAATTTCTGATTCTCAAGAACTTCCCTGCTGAAATGACTACCAATCCATCTATACTTAACAATTGACACTAACTTAAAATTTCTTGCACAATTATGTTCATTGACAAGGGACTTGATTTGGAATGAATGATCCTTACTCATCCATGACGCCTAGAGCCTAATTGTGCATTCACCATCAAAACACTTAACTAATAACCTTTTACTGTCATTTTTTTCATAGTACAGTTGATACCCATCGGTACAACATATTACAAAGCATGATTTTTTTTTTTTTTTTTTTATTTTTTTTTTTATTTTTTTTTTTATGGTTGGTGAACCTCATATCTAGAATTGTCAACTGCTTCTTCGAAGATATGTCTTTCATTAAACATTGGTTTTCCTTTCACATCTAGGACATTATCATCCTCATCATTTTTTGGACCTTCTGTGGCATCCTCATTTCCATTTTCCTGTCTTACTCCTTCATAGGTTACTCAATCCATGTTGCTCTGTTGTGGACTCATGAAGTTAGTTAGGTCAATACTTTTTTCCCCTTCGATTGACATGTTTGACATCGCAAAACAATTATCTTCATTTTCATGTTCCTTAGTTACGTGCACAGTAGTACCAAAATGGTCCATGTAGCAATATCTATAAATTAATGAAGTTCATTAGAAATCAAGGTTAAACCTTCTAATTTGTAAATCAGGTTGACAATAATAAAAAATTTCATACTTCTCTTGTGTGAATCGTTCAATAAAATCCACAAATTCATTATATGACATACCAGCAAAGTCGATATTCTCAAACACATGATGAACACCATCAGAATAGTAAAAAGGTTTTTTGATGAACACACATTGAAAATGAACTTTGATTGAGAATAATATAACCATCGATCTACAATTACTATGATGAGAAGAGGGGTTTGTTTAATGAGGAGGGGATTGTAGAACGCAATCAATTTATTTAAAACAAATTAAGATAAATGTAATACACATGGCTATTTCATTAAATAACCTGACATCGATATTTTCCTTCGTGACATGTATATTACCTTTAAAACCGGTATCAGGTTACATAAAGGTATTTTAAAACAGAGAAATGTAAGTTCATTCCCTTAATGTACAAAAAAAAAAATAGTTTGGTGATCTTTTAAAACAAACACGATAAGATTAATGGACTAATATGACATTTACCGAAAAATTTTTCCACCACCACACCAATAGTATTGGCAGTTAATGATATGATAAGTGATCGATTAAATATCAATTCAATAAATATATTACTTTTCTCATTTTCTAATTATTTAATGACCAATAATCAAATTTTAACAATAAATATGATATCCTTTGCAACAAAATTACAAAACGGATTATCAGCAGATAACATCCTTTTTCCACAAATATATCATTTTTGTTTGATCTGTCTATGAATTGCTTTAAACAATCATAATTTGTTAAAACATCCAAAATATTTCAAATAAACTTGTTATATAATTATTACAAATTTCGAATACCAACATACCTTTATTACTACTAATAATTTAATTTTGATTATTTAAATGAGAAGTGATCTATACATAACACCTCTTTGCCATACACAATAATCTCTGCTTTAGAGGATCGTACAAAAAGAAAAACATAACTTCAAGATCCATCTACTAAAGAGTTTACATTTAACAATCAATTTATAAAAGACACGTTAAATATAAATAGAAAAATAAAAGCTTAGAAATACTTGTGTTAAACAAATCAAAAGTTTAAAGAAGAAACAATAAAAAAAGGAAGTTATTGCATGGTTTGCTAAACAAAATTCAGTTATTGAACAGCCAGCTACCAACAATTAGGCGAGTATTTAAAGAAAACTACCCGACTTGAACCACTAACTAATTCAATCCAAAAAAATGTTAAATCATAAATGCAAGATGTTAATGGGTTTCTGTTCATGTTCATGATATTTGCTGATCCATATGCTAATACTTTTAAGAAACAATTACCTATAAGAAAATGGCATAATAATGGCTGAAACAAATTTTTTTATTTATTGTATTAACTTTTGACTACATTTTGGGGTTGAGCGAAAAAATCCTTTGCATTTCTTGCTACCTCGGCCTCCAGAATAGACTCTAGCATGATGTCGGATCCCTTCGCATCAGCTGCCATTTACAACATAAACAAGAGTTATTCAAATACAAAGTTATTTATTGTATTGCGAAAAAATATCAATAAAAAAAATATGATAGTATGTTGCTATTTGTTAGTCACCTGTGCGATTAGGCAACAATCCTGTGTCTTGAGCTGATACAGGAAGAACAGTGAGGCCAGATTCATCAGTAAGCTCACTCATAACTTCATTATTTGTATTTGTATTTGTAGGTTCAGAACGCAAAGCTGCTGACTCAGCTAATCTTGCATAAGCAGTAGCTTGGTTGTGCATGTCTGATGATGGTGAGGCTGGTGAGGCAGTTGCATTATAATTATAAACCTGGGTGCAAAATAACAAATAAATGATAAATCTATTGACTTTCGTTACAGATTTCTGTGAATGAAATTTGAGTTTTAGGGTTTGAACCTTAGGGGTAGCAGGTGGGAGTGCATTATCAATGGGTTTTACAGGATCGGTATTCTCTGAATTTTGAAATATAAGTACATCTTATCAGAGATTATGATTAACATGGATATCTACAGAAAGAAGGAGATTAGATGATGATACATAGTACATACCATTTGTATCTGGAATCTGGGCAACATTGTCCACTAGCCTCTTGGTTAATGGGCCAGGATTCACAAATGAAATTGTTCGGATTTCATGACGTATGGCTTCAAGTTGAGCAATAGTATCTTGAAGTTCCTTGTGCACCTGAAATCGAAAGAGAAGATCAGAAACAAACCATAATCGTTCTTCAATTACACTGTATTTCGCAGATTTACAATTTGATATGAAAAACTTTTCCTAATCTATCACCATCGTTTTGAATTTGAGGTGTTTGTTAACAACTACTCCGTGGATTCGTTTTTAGGACTGCGGGATTTTAGGGTTATAGAGAGACCTGTTTAGCTTGAGACTGCTGCATGACATTGTCGAACTGTCCACGGGCCATTTGAACGTATCCGATTGACCGGCCAGCTAATCGCCCGGCGACTCGTGCTATGCGTGGGAGATCTTTGGGGCCTAGTGTCGAATGAGGATCAATCATTTTGAACAGCAATTGCAAAAATCAAACTAACACAAATACTCGTAATCACGATATGAAAATCGAACATAACGAGATCAATTAGCTTGAAAATGTGTATTCTCACACCATGAGCTTAAACGTAACGTTAATTGGAGCAAGGACATAAAGATTTCGCGTACCGATGAGAGCTGCCGTGGCTCCGATGATAAGGAAAAGCTCCCCGTACGAAAGACCTAGCATCGGTTATTGGTACGCTATGATCCTCTTGGAGAAGAAGAATAAAGGCTCCAGCACAGAAATCTTTCCAAATTAAGTATACACTTTAGACTTTACAGAAAACGATGAAGCCGCTTGAATTCTTAAACAGGATATAATCCGGCAATGCGCCGCCGTGACATTCGCTTACGCCACCGCTACGGGTGTAGGAGGGAGGAACCCGTATAATAAAGGTAAAGTACGTTTGACCCCTTGCAAATTATCTTATTGGTAAAGGGAGCTTATTCAGTCTTTTTTTTTTTTACCGGATGAAGTGATGTCATGCTCCATCACTACCATAAAAATGTAAATTTTTCACACCCAAAAAGTGGTGTCGCATTTCTTTTAACATTTTTTTTTAAAACTTCATTTTTAATAAAAACATTTTATTACATCAAAATTTAAAAAAAAAAAAACATTGCATTGTATTACCTAAAAAAATAACATATAATGATATTAAAAAACACGCATCAAACGATTAACATAACTAAAAAGATATAAAAAAAATACTATATGAAGTCGTCTTTCCGAGAACACGTCTCCCAATTCATCCGGGGATCCAAATTGAGGTCAATGTGTTGAAGCCCGTGAATACGTTTCATCAAGTTTATGCGAAAATTGTGAAAAATGTCATTGCAACGTACCTCTGCTCTCTTATCCATGTACTCATCGCCACTAATTTCTATTGGTTGTGTCTCGGGGATGGTTTCATGCTCATCGTACATACATATCGCTCTTCTTCTTCTTCTTCAATAATCATATTATGCAATATTTTTGTGTTCTTCGTTGAGAACTTTCAGCAACATTATTGCATAAAGAAACATACGCTTGCTCCGCTATTTTACCACAAGCGACAATAACATCAAAAATAAATTGAAATTCTTCAGACGATGAAAACGGTGACATTTTCTATTGATTTTGAGAGAAAAAGTACAGAAAGATGTAAAAACTTGGTTTTGGTTTGAAGAAATAAAGTTGAAAGTATCATTTTATACGTAAAAACAATATATATATATATATATATATATATATATATATATATATATATATATATATATATATATATATATATATATATATATATAGGGTTAGGTTATTGTTTTTTTTTATAAGTATTGTATGCATGTATGGTTAATTGTAGACCAATCATTTTAGTTTTGTAGCAACCTATATTCTTAGGACCATTTCCGACATTTTTTTTTTCTGTAAAATTCCTTCAAAACTCTTCTTTTCATCAAGTGGGAACCTGACACTTACTAAAAATCATGGCTCTTGATATTCAACTTTAAACTCTCTCGGGTTTTTCTCTCGTGACAAATCAAGATTTGACCCCAATTGTTGAAATTTCTCAAAGTATTCGAAGGTAAAGTACGCCTCATGGATTGAGTTGGATAATTCACCAAAGTAGTAGACTAAACAAGTCAAGAATTCCTTAATTGCTTGCAATCTCGGAACCGAAACACCTAACAATGTGTATGATCACGAATTCTTACACAAACAACAAAAACCTTCCCGACAAGTGACATGATATCAACAAAAAATAATAAAATAAAAAATTAAAAACAAATAATGAATAATCAAACAAATCAAAACAATTGAAAATCGTACCCCAACAATGCCACCAAAAATTTGATGTGTGTTTTTATGTATATATTTTAATTGCTCAAGTTTTAAATTTATAAAATTGATTTTATAGCAATTGGAGTAATAAACACTAGGCATTGTACCTAATCATGCAATAGTATAATTGTGGTAAGACCAAATGGCGAACACAAGGGGAACGATGGTGAATTAATCTGGAGTATTTGATTATAGGTTACACTAAACAGACAAAAATAGTAAAAATGAGTTTTAGAACTAAATCTCAAATAAGCAGTTAAACACAAAATATTGATAAACTGACTAGAAACAAATCTCTTTAGGTATTTTGGTTTATACTGGATTTCATCTCGAAATACTGGTTAACTACTTGTTGTAATGGATATTTATTCATTATTCACCTGTAACGTTCCAAAAATTATAAGGTAAAGTTTTCATTTTTAATTCAACCATAAACACCATATATCCTTTTAGTAAAATTAGTTATCAGAGTACAATCCTAAAATCATAAAGTTTAGGAAACATGGGAGGACACACTACGATCAAGGCATGCTCTTCCCTTTCGAACCGAAAGTACCTGAAACCATAACCATAAAAACGTAAGCACAAAGATTAGTAAGTTCCCTAAAATACCACATTTCAATCATAGAACTGGGCTTAACTGTAGGGTATATTTCAACCTATTACATATATATAGGCCCAGCTATGGGGCTTCGCCCTGGGGTGTATTTTAACCTGATCAACACATATGGGCCCCATCATGGGGCCTCTCCCTAGGGTATCTTTCAACACAATCATACAATAGTGGGCCCCACCCTAAGGTCTATTTCAACCGAACATATGATAGTGGGCCCTGCCCTAGGGTTTATTTCAACCCATCATACAAACTCATATAATCCACCTAAAAACTATCATCCTAAATAACACAATAATGGACCGACATTGGTGCCTTCGACCCATTGATATAATGAAAAGACTCGCCTTACTCCAAGATAACTTTAACACACATGTTGCTGCTACCGGGATCCTCACACTGAACAAAACCAAATTATCCCTAATCAATAATTAAGGAATTTCCCCATAACCCAAGGTCCAATTCATAATCTATCCTTCAAATGGGTAAAATACCATTTTACGCTTCCCATATTTGACCCAAGAACTCATGGCCCAACTCCCAAAAGAACCAAGGCCGGAAAGGCCCAAAAAGGGAGTCACACTCATACCCCCCGCGTACCAGATTCGTACGCCCCATGTACTAATTACTGATCCTCAACGTACAACTTGTAAAAGAAAGGAAATAGGGAAACCATGCATTACGTTGAGCGTATGTATACATACACCCAACGTATTCCCTGCTTGACCAAATCTCACTTTAAGCACTTAATGCGTAAGACCAAAACATCCAAACACAGATTCAACCTCTAAGGGATGTCTTAAATCATAAAGTTCTTGACTTTATGACTTTGCATTGATTAATGGGTTCCAATCCAAAAACCAAGCTTCATAACTTCATTAAAAGGTAACTAGTTCTTGCATGAAAGGATAATACTCCTCAGGATCCAAATTTTTATGACTTAATAACGTCAACAAGGACCAATTGTGAGGCTCAAAGCTTATAGAGTGACTTCTACTCACAAGAACCACAATCATGGGATCAAAACATAACAAATCACAACCCCAAACTAGATCTACATGAGAAAGCCATCAAGATTAAAACTTTTTACCTCCAGATGCTAGATCAAGATGAACAAGACCTGGATCTCCAAGCTCCAAGACAACAAACACTTCTCCAATGAGTTCTTATTCTTCCAAAGGCACCAAAATCACTCCAATGCTCAAAATCTATCCAATGGGCGCTAGGGTTTTGAATCTAGGGTTAGAGGGGACGGAGGATGAAGATAAGGAGGGTCGGAAATGAGTTAACGCCTTAAAATAGGTCTAAGACCCTAAATTAGGGTTTGTGCCTAACTTGTGTATGCCCTGCGTACTCCATGTACGCCCAACGTACTCAATGACGCTCTACGATCATCCCAACCTAGTATACCTGATGTACGCCCTGTACGCCTGTCATACTCAGCTTAGCGAAAAAATCCTCCTAACTTCCGAAGGCCATAACTTCTTTGTTCTAACTTCGATTTCGTTGATCCTTATATCCACGAAAAGGTAATGAGAAGCTCTACGCTCCTATAAATTCTCTTTCACCTTAAAAACTTCCAAACTTAAATCATGAATTCATGAAAGGCCCAAACCATCACTTTTATCATTATACCCCTAGGCTCTAAAGCATAAACCAAACTCTTGGATCACATAATTTACATTACCCTCAACCAAAAGGATTTGATCCTCTCTTTCCCTAAATCCTGAAGCCTTAGGATAATTGGTCTTTGGGTCACGATCTTGAATTATGAAATGAATCATAATAGGGTGTTACAACTCTCCCCCATTTAAATTAGTTTTCTTCCTCGAATTTACTCCATGTTACCTTTTACGCAATCATATGATTCTTACCAATTCCTCTCAAACTCTGCTCTGCCGAGAAGTTGATCATAATCATAGCGACATTCCAATGCTACCATCAAAACCCAATAATAGTAGTACTCATACACTCTGATGGGGAACAAAGTATTGATCCCCTAACTTATTCAATACGGAAAAACCAGCACTTCACTGCTATAAGTTCGAAACACCCAAAACTTTACCTGACCTCCTCACAGGTAGAACCATTCTGAAACACAATCAATAGGTCCTCTCTCTGCAATCTAAACTGAAATACATCCTTCCGATCCTAATTTGTCCAAATGATACCCTTAGCAGACAGAATCTTTGACCATACCTTGCTACCGAAAAGATCTTTCATATAAGAAAAGGTGACTCCCAACGCGAGTTGCAACCCTTTATGGCAACCCAAAACATAATTCACATTCCAAAATCCAATGACTCACACTTGCATCTATCCGAAATCTTATGATTCCATGGTGACCTCACATTGAACCGAGATGTAAACTCCCTAATCAATCACAGAGACTGACAGTCTCACACCTGGTCCTAGGCATAAGGCTTTGATAAGAGTCTAACTGATAAGGGATACCCTAGCCTAACCATCACACTGATACCAACCACTGACCACAGAGACATCCCACTCTAAAAATGATCTAATACCTTTCTCAAGCTAATTTCCACCAAGTTTCACCCACTCTATCATAACCATACGGGCCTCGCCCATGGGTCTCACCCAGTCTGTACAATCAAACGGGCCTCGCCCATAGGTCTTAACCAATCGAGTTTTGTACAGGCCAAACTTTGTCTCGAATCCAACGATCCTCATACCAAAACAAAGAGAAATCCTCCAACAATAATTTATGCCTCAACCCAGGCATGCACTGATCCTTTTTCAACCCAACGAACCCTCCTACCATGCCCAACCCCATTCTGGTGAATACTACGACTACATCACAGACTTATAACACTTCATCGATAACCTATTGTCCTTGTATATGCTATGACTACCCTATAACCTTATAACACTCCCTTATTAGCCATGAGCCCAACTCATGGTCTTGTTCTCCATCTACCATGCCAACCTATAATCAAACACTGGTCAAAAACAAATTGACTGCATCCCAATTAGGTGCCTGGATCATGCTTTGAACCCTAAAG